CGGTATCACTATGGAAGTAGATTGCCCCATCATCCTTCCAAGGAGTGACTGGTGGGTTTGAACCGCCAGACTTCTGATCAGCAGTCAAATGCATTAGGCATTACACCACCAGAGTTAATATCTACTAGTACAAAATAAAATTAATACAGGAATACATCTGTTTTTCTGATGCTTAAGAATGAGTCCATATTTGATTTTATCTTTAAAGATAGTGCAGAATGTCAATAGGTGGAAGAAGTATCAAGTAAACTATGGAATTAGGTGATCTCGTGCTTTAAGGAGAAATGTTTGATTTGCAAATGCTAAATTTGTTTAAAACAGCTATCAGCTCTGCATCTGTGTGGATTGTGACATTAGAAAGATGGATAACTGGCAAATAACAAAAGTAGATTCACTCTGAATACAAATTACGGAGCCTGGACTTAGCCTGTGAAGAACTGGTCAGCCATGTTGCGTGTGCAGATGGAAAACGTTTTGCATACATTAATCTGGCAGCTGAGTGGAGGAGAGATAGGAAGGGAGAAAGGCAGTAAATACTGGAATTGTCAGGACAGTGAAGTGTTTCCCTAGCAAGATAAATGGATGCACTGATGGATTAATATCAGAGGGAAGTAGGTACTATCAAGAAAGCAATCTTCTTCTTCAGTACTTGCTCAATGTTAACCCTTTATAGTGATTAAAATATCACTCACCTGCTTCAAATGGAGTTCCCATAGGCTAGAATGGGATGAATCACAATAAGACTCTCAAAAAGATGGACATCAGAAAGCTGAGATTTTATGTTTGCCCGAAAGTCTCAGGGGCAACTCTACTCCAGGGAGCCTATCATACAGCTGTCTTTTCAACAACACTACCTCTGTCTCACACATGTTGCTCATGTCATTATGGTTCTAAGTCTTCCCACACATTACCTCATCCACAACTCTACCCCTGGATAGGCATACACACAGGATATTTCCAATAAATAAAATGTTATCATCTATGTTTTCATTTTAATAGCAATTAGTAAATATTAACCCCATTTTCAATCAGCACAAATAATTTGTAAATATATATATAAATTGTTTTTAAAAGACTGATTATAACAAAAGGATTTCTTCATAATTCACACAAACTTGAAATTACATATATACCATATTTGTCAAGTCTTATAGTACTGGAATTTGTAATACTAGTGTTTTAATATTCAGATGAGAATACAGGCATGTCTTTTTAAATCTGTTTAATATACTTACGGGAGTCAAGGTTAGGATGGAAAAATATTCTGTACCTCCTTCTTTTTTGACTACCAAAAAACTACATTTAATTTTCAGTTATCTTTGTAGCTGATAATCATTTAATTATCAGTTATTTGCTCAAGTTCTTATTGCTGATAATAAGTCATTTTTACATTTTATATCATTTTCATATGTTAATTTCAATTAGTTAATCTAAATAACTACCTATTATATATACCTAGCGTATGTTTCTATACACATGTTTATAAAGCAGAAACAACTTTATATCTCAAGTACAACTTTTTGTGTCTGTGTGATGATAAAATAACACCTTTCTACACAAAATGATGTAAGAAACTGATTCAAAACTTTACTCACACTTATACAAGAGCTTGATTAAAATTTTCTTAATGTTTATTTTAAGTGTGAATGCTCAAAAAGTTGTAAGAATATTACATGAAATTCCTTATAACCTTCATCTAGAATTACCTATTGTTATCATTTTATTTTGCTTCATTTTCTCTCTTTTATTTCCCTTATTATATTATAATTATTATTTGCTATACCATTTGAAAACAAATTGCAGAGATAACAACTTTTAACCTGAATATTTAGCAAGAATTTCCTAAGACCAAGGAAAACTCTTAAATAATCACATTCCAGATATGCAATTCAGGACATTTAACATTGATATGATACTATTATCCAATATGCAGTGCATATTCAGAATAATCATGTTCTTTATACAATTATTTATAGCAACCATTTTTCCCAGTCTACAATTCAATCTAACATCACACATTGTATTTAATTGTTGTCTATCTTTCGTCATGTATCTTTCTCTAGTTGCCTTCAAGGTAATTCTGACTCATGGCAACTCCATGTGTGCTAGACTAGAACTGTATTCCATCGAATTTTCAGTGGCTGATTTTTGGGGGAAAGTAGGTTGATAGGCCTTTCTTCTGTGATGCCTCTGAGTGGCCTCCATCCTTTCTTCAGCAGCTCAGTGTGTTAACCATTCACACTAGCCAGGGACCATACCATCCAGCAACCATGGATCTTTAGTCTCCTATAAACTGGAGCAGTTCCTCAAACTTTTGTTGTCTTTCATGACATTGTCTTTATCAAGGAGCGCATTTCTAAGTAATCTGTGGGTCAAGAGAGAAATCTCAAGGGAAATTAAAAATACTTTGAACTGGAAGAAAATGAAAATATAAACCAACCAAACCAAACACTGCCATCAAAGTAGATCCAACTCATAGCGACCCCTCCTTGGGTTTCCCAGGCGGTATCTCTATGGAAGTAAATTGTCCAACCTTCCTTCCGAGGAGTGGCTGGTGGGTTTGAACCACCAGCCTTCTGGTTAGCAGTCAAATGCATTAGGCACTACACCACCAGAGCTCCCAATGAAAATACAATCTATCAAAAATGTGGAACAGCTGAAGCATTGTTCAATAATTTAAACTCTCTCCTCAAGAACCTAGAAGAGGAGGAGCTCTAAGATGAGCTGTACAGTAGAGGTGTCCTACAGTAGAGCTGTCCCTGAAACCTTCAGGTAAATAAACCCAAAGCAAGCAGAAGGCGCAAAATAATAAACATAAGAGCAGAAATTAAAAAAATTTAAAACAGAAAGAAATTAATGAAACAATTGGTCATTTTAAAAGATCAATAAAATTCACAAGACTCTAGAAAACTGACTAAAGAAAAGAAGACACAAATACCAGTATCAGGAGTGAAACTGGATATCACTACATACGCTGCAGATTTCAAAAGGATAATAAAGAAATTACACACCTTAGATAAAATAGACCCATCAAAAAACACAAGCTACCGTAACTCACTCAATAAGAAATAGATCATTTGAAAAGTCATATAAACGATTCAAGAAATTGAATTCATTTTTTAAATTCCCAAGAAATCTCCAGAGGTTTAATCTCCTGAGGTTTAATTGAAGAATTCTACCAAACCTTTAAAGAATTAACATGAACTCAAGGCAATCTCTTTCAGAATAGAGAGGAGGGAACATTTCCCAATTCATTTTATGAAGTTAGTTTTGCATTGATACCAAAACCAGACAGAGCAGCACCAAAAATCAACAAACAAATGTCTCATGAATACAGACACAAAAACCTTAACGAAATATTAGCAAATAGAAATAAGCAATATGCAAAAAGAATTATGTACCATGACCAAGTGAGATTTATTCCAGGGATGCAAGTCTGGCTCAATATTCAAATATTAATCAATGTAATCTATAAACTAACAGGTTAAAGAAGAAAAATTACATGGTGATAATTGATACAGAAAAGCAGTTAACAAAATTTGTGCCAAAAAATAAAAGCTCTAAAAAAAAAAAAAAAAAAAGATAAAAGGAAACTTCCTCAACTTGATAAAGAGAATCTACAAAAATCCTTCAGCTAATATTATACTTAACTGTGAAAAACTGAATCCTTGCCCCCTAAGATGAAGAACAAGTCAAGGATGCTGACTTTTACAACTCTTATTCAAAATTGTGCCAAAAATTCTGACTGTTGTAATATAACAAGAAAATGGCACAAATGGGATACAGATCCAAAAAGAAGGTATAATTCTGTCTCTATCTGCAGATTAAGAAGTTCTGGTGGCACAGTGGTTACAGCATATGGCTGCTAACCAAAAGGTCAGTGGTTCAAACCCACCAGGCTCTCCTTGGGAGAAAGATGAGGTCATTTGCTTCTGTAAAGATATACAGCCTTGGAAATCCTATGGGGCGGTTCTACTTTGTCCTATAGGGTAACTATAAGTCAGAATCTACTTGATGGCAGTGGGTTTGTTTTTTTTTTGGTTTTATCTGCAGGATAATTTCATGAACATCTATGTAGAACATTTTAGGAACTCTACCTAAAACTTCTGAAACTAATAAGTAAATGCAGCAAGTCACAGAATACAAAATAAACAGAAATTTTTCAGTGTTTTAGCAATGAACACAAGTGATGTTCCCAAGGTGAAGAACTTGGGAAATCTCATTATTTTTACATGGTTTCTCTGTCTCTTCCTTGATCTGAGACACAGGCACAAGGGACATGGAGGATTTAGTGGTAGACTGACTCCACTGGCTCAGAGTCTTATCTGAGGTCTGTGGATCCACCTCCCTTGCTGCACAGTCCAGCTGGGGATGTGGAGAATTGCATTGCAGCATTTAGCCCACCCATTCTGCCTGATCCTGAACACGTTTCTTTTTAAATATTTCCTTAATTTTTCAATATATTTGATAGTATGTTTTTAAAATTTCATTTCTGGGTTGTTTGTTGTTAGTATATAGACACACAATTTATTTTTGTTTATTAAGCTACTATCTTGCAACCTTGCTAATCTCACTCAGTTCTAGTAGCTTTTCAAATAAATGTTTTTGTACTATCATGTTGTTGTTGTTATGTGCCGTCGAATCAGGTCAACAATAATATCACCAATA